GGAGGCGACATAACGCATTCTCTACCCGTCCGCTCTAACGGGTCCTGAATCCCTCATCCATATCCCTGCGCAAAATCTCGCTGCTCCGCCCGACCCACCGCGTTACCGCCAGCCCTGAGTATACGATGGCACAAATCACACAGCTCCACATCAACGTCGCCATGAATTCCCGCTGCGCACCCGCATATTTTCACATCTACGCGAGATTCTCCTCCCCCCTCACAAGCTTTCCCAAACTGACCAACTTATCTTTCTGTCAGTTTGTGAAAAGCAGCTCGCATCACTGAGTTCAGCCCGAACTGCAATGTGGGCCAAGTGCTATTGCATGCACCGCTGCTTTGACGCGTTTTCATTGGGCGGGGCGTGCCGAAATCCTCCTTTTGCCTCACTTACCCTATGGGTGTCGAGTAACGTCAGGATCATAGCGGCTTGCGTGTAAGGTTGGCAACGCGTAATTAATACAACTTGTAGGCCCATCACTGGTGACGGGTTTTTGACTCGCTGGTCCAGCCACCGAAAGACAAGCTTTAATCAATACTATCCTCTTCATAGATTATCGCCTCACAATTCTCTTCTCGTGGAGTATGTCTCGTTAGAAAAGAACTTTAAATGCCACAATTTGGGCGAGCCAAATTATGTGAGAAGAGTAATTATCTGGAAGAAAGAACGAGATAAATATCTCAAACATGAGAGAATCAATGTTCTGATTCATGTGTAGGTGAAGACAGTACCAGAGAGCAACAGGAGAAATTCACCGATCCAATTATGCCATGGAGCTGTTCTCTCATTACCTTTATCGCTCAAGTCACAGTAACTAGGCAGATAATTGCCACTTTGTTCTACGAGCTAGTTCTGCTGCAAAGGTCACAAAACGACTTTTATATTATAGGTCTTTTAGTAGGATATCATGCTCCCAACAGTCTATAAAGTCTTTGGTCTAAGAATTGATGTAAAAACTAAGTATGCAGCAGATTGTGAATGGCCCTTGTATTACATACTTAACAGAACACGTATCGGTTAAGTTTTGGTGACAGTACAGTTTGTGTTTATTGTCCTATTGAGTATATGACAGAAAGGACATGAGAGTCCTTCCTGTCTGCGGGCCGGGAGTATCTATGCCTACTTCACGACTTTTTCCAGCTGTAGTTACCCCCATAGGTCTTCATTCAAGTACACACTGAGAGGAGCCATTCTCCCATCATTAAATACCCTCTCCAACAAAAAAACAATGACCGTTTGCAGCTGTGTAGCTGCAGGAAAAATGTCAAAAACCACTGGGTGCGAGGCTCTCTTTTTACGAAAAGCCCAGCCAGCCGAGCGCATTACACCTATGTATACCTAAGAGTGGCTGTCAACCTTCCTATCATCAATCTTACTCATTACCTGATTGATGCCGCAGTAAAAAACGAAGGTCGTGAAAGGATCTCAGAAAAGACTTGGTCGAGAGTCACCGCCACGAAAGAACCTAGTCTAGCATCTAAAAGTCGTTGTGGACGCGTGGTTGTCGAGTAAATCATGCTTTTCAGATGCCCTCCTGGCTAGTAGACTCGGAATAGAATAAATTTTAAAGTACCTATTGAGTCTCTGACTATGAAGGACTACTAAAAGCTGCTTAAATGCTAATGTAGATTTATTTATTTTTATACATTATTTATTTTCAATATTCTCCAACTAGCGATGAGGGTCGTGCCCCATAGTAGATTCGAAATTGTGGGTCAGAAGAGCCGATATTGTTGAGAAGTTGAAATCTGCTTTTCTTGAGGGCGGAGGGGTCGTTTACTTTGTTTTCGTGGGCTCTTTGTTCGCCCGTCGGTGGGTAGTACATGTTGTGATATAACGAGGGCTTCTCTAACTACCGTTATAATGTTTGGTACCGAAATATATTTACTCATTCCCAGCATCATTATCATCGTCTTGGTCGTCTTGTGTGTTATCGGAAGCACATCTTTAAGTGAGGGGGAGATAACTCAAAGTTGAAAAGGTGTTGCTCAGTCTTGGCTCTGCAAACTCGACAGTGAGCTGGAGGTTTGCATGGGACACCGCTGACAGGTATTGGAGTTTTCATCCTCCTTATTGATAATGTAAATCATATATAACGAATTTATATACGATTACAAGATTATAAACTTTGGGATTTACAGTTTCATCACCAATAGTATATCAACAAGAACCAGAATAGAGTTCAATAAGCATTCTACCCTACTCAGTGTGGCTTGTTCTTGCGATATGCTATAAGTAGTCGCTGAGTCTTTTGAGCAGCGATGTCAACAATCCAGACTGTTTGGGTACAGTCTAGCTTCTGTTTATCGTAAGATTCTCCAATAATATAGATAGGACACATCAAGGATGCCATGACAATAATTACAGGTTTTTCTTATTTGGCTCCATCTCTTTTTCGGAACATATAGCAAATATCAGGTCAGGAGGATTCCAATTCATGCTTGGTTTGGATTAGATTATCTATCGTGACTGCCGTTCTATAAATTTTAATTAGCATCATTATCCTAAATCTCCTTTGGAAGGAAAAAGCAAATTAAGTAACATACGCCGTGCAAGTTATGCATGTTGACTATTCAAAGGAATACATGTGTACATTAACTCATTATTCGTAGGCTGAACTAACTTCTAGAGACGACTGTGGTACGGTGATATTTTGTTCATAATCGGTATTCATAAGAATTTCTCTCCTTTGCCTGTCTGATTATCGCCCTAGCTGTCGGCTGGTTCACGGCTATTAACAGTGTGGAGATAATGCTTAATATGGAAGTAGGCCTTGACAAGACCTTTATACTCGTACCTTATAGATATCTTAAATAAAAGTCAAAGATAGTCGCCCTCGATTTATGGGGCGCGTTCCTCTGTACCCACGAGTTTAGCGTTTCGTCCGATAGTCATCAGATGTGGGCATGAAGCTTTGGAGCTCCAGCACATGCGTTGCTGAGGGGCTTAGGAAATAGACCGGAGAGCATCCAGCGATCAACGCTCCTGGCGCGCCAGCGTTGGTAATCGTGTTCCATCAGAGAGCGTCCATATTAAATCGTGGCTTGTTCCCTGCTTGATTGGCCGGCTGGACTTTTGATAGCCATAGGGCGAGAAATGCCGATTTAAAATGGAATCCTATTCAGATCTCCTAATGCCTTTCCAGTCAAGCGCAGGTAAATCCCACGTGGTCATGTGATGATATCTGGGCAAAGGCCAGGGGATCCTGCGCGAGTCGAGCCAATCGGCGGAAGGCCGGGTCTACGTAGACAGTTAACATAAATGGCGCCAGTCGCTTCTCCAGCTCTCTCGGGATATACACGGAGAGGAGCCATTGCTTGTTGCCATTATGTCCTGGTTGAAAAGGGATATATTTATCAGATGCGAACAAGTGGTTATTGGTGTTCCAGGCCTTCTTCCTCCGATGCGGCTCTATGATACATTACAGCACGCAAGTCCTGTGGATCTCTCAAACGGCCGAGCAGGCTAGGACCCGGTCAAACGTCTTATCTACGGGAAAGAAACGGAATTACTTGTTTGGACCGTGTGGCCGTCGTCCCGTCTGCGTCTGGGAGACCGCGGGGGCCACGAGAATGGTCGTCATTTACTCAATCTCGCGTTGACGTGTGAGTCGGAGAGGAACACACCACGTCTCGAAAGTATGGCAAACTATTTCCCATCCAAGAATGCCAAATCTTCCATAATCTATCTCCGACCTCCGGTGTCTGATGCTCTCAGACTTATTTTGCCTTGTACTAAAAGCCCAGCTCTAGCCATCCTGTTTCTATTTGTCTAGTTTCTCAACCAGACTCAAGTCGAGTCTCTTCGGCTTCCCCAAAGCCTTTGGAGATTTCGAGATTACTGAAACCTTTCCAGGCTCCTTCTCCTCTGCCTGCGGCTGGGCAAGCCGAGGCTCGTTTCGAAACGGACACAAGTCGTGTTACGGCTGCGCGATAGTGCTGCTCCGAATCTGTCTGTCGCTTGTGGGAGTTGCGCGTGTTATGCAGTTCATGGACCGTCGCTGTAAAGAGGCGGCAAAGTAAGATGAGTTGGTGACGTTAGTCTTTTGTCCCTTGGCTGTATCTGCTTGCAGACGCCATCACGACTATCTCTAATCACAACTTATCTTCCTCTTGCCTTATCTCCTGAGCCCATCACGGTGTTCGGAGACTTAAAGTATCCTTGGCTGTTGCCAGACCCGCTAGAGCTGACTTTCTTCTGGCGTTGACATTCGACGCAGTAAAGCATGGCACTACGGCGGCTGGTCGTCGAATTCTAGTCCTGCTGCCAGGCGAAAAAGCCTTGGCTTGAGGTGGGATTAAGGGCACGGTCAGCCTACGGTCAACAGAGCGGACATCGCGTACAAGCGTTCTCGGTCAACATTGATTGTGAATGGGCAGAGGTGTGGGGCGTATTTAACTTTGTGAAGGAGATGGTCAAGTTTAGTTTAGACCTTTTCACGGCTCGCTAGGATCCCCTTCCACTCTCCGATCTAGTGAGGATCTGCAGACCTTTGGCTGGTCAGCACTTGCAGATTTTGCCGATGCATGAACCTGGCTCCCTAGAATGAATACTGAAGGACCTCCTTCTCCTGTCCCGTGGCAAAAAGAGAATGACGAAGTTCTCCTTGCTTCTCATCCCCTCCCCCGCTGCTAATATCACGACGTCTAACAGCTAGCCACGCCCCCCCAAGTTACCGTCCGACACCATAGCCAACCAGCCAACCATCCCATCAGTCAATATACTTACAAATCTACTCAAGCGCCTTTGCCAATAATCCTCCTACGAGACTTCAACGTTTGCCAAACGTTCTGCCACATTAAATAAGGGAAAGCTACAAGGTCGATACACCACTCTTCATGAAACCACCCTTTCAAACTCTCACCATCGCCCCCATTCGAACCACACATTTTCTCACCCGAAGTCACCCGAAATTGCCCGATATTCTTACGAGCAACAACTACTCCATATTCTACTCTGCTATACGTTAGCTGATCCAATAACAAAATTTTTACATCCACATGTCGAAGAGCTTCTTTCGTCGAGCAGCTTCCAATCGCGACTCATCCTCGATTATCAGCCGAAGGACGACCGATTCGAGTGATAGGAAGAATAATGATTCAACCTTGTACGGCTTGGGTCTCATAAACGGGTCCGAAAAGAAATGGAAGCATCGAGAGCCCGACCCTACCCAGGCCTTCATTGCCGAGGCATTTCTTCCCGAAAGATCAGGTGTGTAGCAAATGCGCCTAGAAAATATTAGTTATTGGAGATAGTCCATGGCTTATGCCAGACCAATCGTTGTAACTAACCCATGCTTTTATCGTAGACACATCAAGCTACGCCGAAAGCCATGCCATGTCCAGTCGAGCTTCTAGCCACGGTACTATCCGACCCGACTCAGACGAGCGTAAAAGATCATCCAATTCCCGGAATCGACCTGGATCAAGCGTCGTAGAATTGATGGATACCCAGAAAACTCGAACGCGCCGGGAAAGGACTTTTGTCGGAAGTGAATGCGCAGTATGTGAAGAACCATTAGAGCACACCCTTCGCGGGGAACGAATACTCCAATTTTCATGCGGTCACGTTTCACACGAAGCCTGCTTCTATGAACATATCAAAGAATTTGAGCTTCAATACTGCCCATCTTGTAATGCCCCTCTCGGCTTAGATACGAGCAGAGGAGGCAGTGTATTAGATATCGGTAAGTTTATGACCGTGTCAGTAGAGGTATCTCGTAATGATTTTTTCTTAGAAAAATTGACTAGCATTGTCCGCTCTGTATCAGCAAACGAATCTATGAGCATTTTGCAACCTCCAACACAGCCTTGGGACAACCAAACCATTCGACCTAGCAGTCGAGATTCTTCTGCTAAAACTTTGCAGCGCGGCTACAATATGGATCATGAAAACTACGACAGTAGAAGCAGATATTCGCTACCCTTAAAAATGACGCATGCCCGTCATGACTCAGACCATACCCGACCCCCCTCAGTTGGGTATCCCGAAACGGTTATGAGTGGACCGCAAAGGAGACATGAATATGAGCTTCAAGCTATCGAACCTGGTGTTACAAGTCCAGTTCCGAGTATTAACAGAAATCCCATTCCCCCTCCCACAGTTGTTCTAAGATCGGAATTTCCAACCTTGTGTCGCTCTCGAGACCAACAGACACTCACGTGCCTCATTACGGTTGAGGTGTCGGAAAGCACTTGGCGACCATGCCTCGAGGATACCCGGATCGTCGCTTCGCCAATACCTACCCCGGAAGAAAAGTTCGCGCGACCTCCGTCTCCTGCTCACAGTGCACCGAGGCCACACCCCTACGAGTCTCCTGAGGCATTATACGAGATAACCGAAAGTCTGCGACAGCGAGTCGAGAACTGGCATGGCCTTGATTTTTCCAGGTAAGCTCTAAAACGTTTATTAACACAATTGCCAACTTTAATAGGTTTGGAAAATTACGACTTCATGGAAAAATACGAGTTGGCAAGGATAAAATAACATGGCAAGAGCTAGAGTGCTTTTTATTCGCAGAGATGCTAGTATGCGTTAAAGAAAAAAAAATTAACAGCCCTCAATGGGACGAATCAAATATGTTACCGGTATCTACAAGGTGCACCCTGAAAGGCTCTATCCTCATCAAGAAACACCTCAATGAGGTGATTGAGGCCAGTAGTGGTACAGTTATTCACACGACTGGGGACTCTTTGGAACTAACCGTTATTCCAGGTGAAGAGAACGTTCTGACTCTTAGTTTATCCGTTGCTGAGCTACCATCCTTTCACCTCCAATTTGTCAATAAAAATCAGCTCAAACTATGGCAACAGGCCCTTCTTGACTTGAACGCAGTCGAGACCGTACCCCCCCAAAACACCGAAAATGACCCATCGGACGTGGATGAAGAAGATTGGCAGAGAGTTCCGCGTAACGGTATTCCAGCACGTCAATCTTCGGTCAGATCATATAGTGGTAATCCATCCGTTACGACGGACTTTAATGTCCCCAGAAATATACGCATACCCTCGATGGTGCATGCGCCGATCGATATCGTTGTTGTCATACCAATTTCTTCATCTATGCAAGGTGTCAAAATTAGCCTCGTGCGAGACGCCTTGAAGTTTATGGTGCAGAATCTAGGCGAACGTGATCGAATGGGTATAGTGACTTTTGGATCAAGTAATGGAGCTACCCCACTTGTAGGAATGACTACTAGTGCCTGGAACGGATGGTCTGGCATATTATCGTCTATCAGGCCTGTCGGACACAAGAGCTATCGAGTAGATGTCGTCGAAGGCGCAAATGTCGCCATGGATCTTCTCATGCAACGAAAGTTCAATAATCCCATTGCAAACATACTTCTCATAAGTGATTCGTCTACATCGGACCAGGAAACTGTGGACTTTGTCGTTTCGCGTGCCGAGGCAGCGAAGGTATCTATATACTCATTTGGCCTCGGAATGACGCATAAGCCTGACACAATGGTTGAGCTATCTACTCGGACTAAAGCATCATATATGTACGTAAAAGACTGGATGATGCTCCGTGAATGTTTAGCAGGATGCCTCGGTGCAATGCAATCGACGTCTCATCAAAATGTGAAGCTGAAGCTTCGGCTCCCTGAAGGTTCACCAGCAAAGTTTGTCAAAATAAGTGGTGCACTTCAAATTACGAAGCGGGCAACTGGCAAAGACGCAGAGGCTTCCCTTGGAGATTTAAGGTTCGGCGACAAGAGAGATATCTTGGTTCAGTTAGTAATCCACCCGGATCACAATTCTCAAGACCAACTTCCACAAGATCCTTGGGAGTCAATTGTATCGGGCCTAGAGGCTCTCGGTGGTCCATTAGAAAAGGAAGACGATAGGGCCATGTCAATAGAAGAAGTACCTCTCATCCAGGCCGAGCTCAGCTGGGGAGACATACTAAGAGATGGAACCATGTGTCACTCACCACGTCCTTCGCTACTCGCAATCACCATGCTTCCAGCGCCAAAAGTTCAAGAGAAGAAGAGTTCCAGCTGGCCGAATGGAAACCCCCCTATCCCATCTCATCAAAATGTTGTGCAGCGCAGGATGGAATTACTTACTTCAGATATGCTTACTCGTGCACTCACATTGGTATCTCGTGGACAGCACGATCGAGCGCAACATCTCCTTAATGAGACACGATCCATCTTAAAAGGCCTCGGGAAAGGGGGGCTTCCACCGATCCCTCCCCCATCTACAATCAAGTCTCCCAAGATTGCCGAGAATCCGTTATCCTCAGCTACCGTGATGGAGCCGCAGGCAGCCCCATCTCCAACATCTGCCGACACACCATCTCCCCCACCTATCACAGCAGGCTCTGTATCTAATGGCTTCTCGTCCGAGCTGTTTTCTGTTGGATCATCCATAGGGATTGATCCCGCTATTGTCTCAGCTCTTGATGCCGAAATTGAGTCGAGTTTAGAATGGATTTGTCACCCGGCTGTATTCAGCCGTGACAGTCGCAAAGCTATCCTCCAGGCCATCGGTGTGATTAGTAGCCAGCGTGGATTCACATTCCGAACACCCGTTGAAAGCTCATGGGCCACACGCATACGTGGAGTTAAACTACTTACAGAAAGGAGTAAAGATTGGCGTGAAGAGAGCGGTGGTGAGGGTGGCATTATGGAAGAAAGCTAAAATGATGCAGCCAACCGGCATTTAAAAAATGAATAACCAAAAAAATAACTCTGCCTCACGGTAGGCAATCACTTTATTGCGATTGCATTCGAGCATTATCAGTACATTTCATCTGGTTTATTAAGAAAGTCCAACACGAATAGGATTACGAACCTTTTTATCACCGGTAAAATTGTTTATCACAGTATTCGGCTTTCGGGAATAATGCATGGCATTGGTGTGGAACATACCCTTTTTGTTATTTGATTGTGCGCGATGATACTTGGTCAAGGTTCCGACCACTAGGAAAATTCACAAGGCACAGGGGAATATTGGTGAGCTTTTAGATTGGATATATGCGCAAATATACACTATTACCACGAGTAGAAGAAGGTTGGAAAATTATTGGCATGGTAGACACTCGGTGGTTTAGCAATACAGGAATAATACCTATCAAGTGTACTTATAATCTCAGGCTGGCATGGGCGTAATGTTTACTTTATGATACTTTGCAGTTGCCGTGGCCCAAAATTTAATGACTTATACCTCACTATTATATGTTGCCTCGGCAGTATTTTTCACGCATTATCATATGCAGCAGTACGCTACTTTAAGTATATGTCCAATTCAAAAAGGTCTCTTGATTGTCTTTTTGCTTATAAAGGCTTTCAAACTAGAAGAGATCAACGCTCAGATTACAACGTCTTAGTGAGAATAATTGGCATAGTTCGGTCTGTGAGGTGATTTTATGACTATTCACGCAGGCAATCTATCGCAAAAGAGACAATTCGGCTACACATTCGTCTAGGAGCTCAAGTAGTTCAGTGGCCTCGCGTGCATCTTCAACGAGTTTTGCCTGCTGGCGAAGCTGCGCTTCGAGACCGGACAGAGGCGCATAACTCGTGACAAATCGTTTACGTCGACCGCCAGCGACCTGGGAGAGGAGGGCAAGGGCAAGCTGTAAGGCTGCAATCTGAAATTCAATTAGGGGGACGAGTACAGTGGTGGGGACCTTGATCCCGATAGTAGACTTGACGACGTCCATCCAAGCTTCGTCGGCGGTGCCGGTTTGCGGATGGTCAATGACAGCAAGCAAAACGCGCACAATTTGTAGGCCGCGTTGTGCTTCAGAAGATAGAAATCTGGTGTCGGCAGAACAGGCGGCGTTGATCTGGCAAATGATGTCTGCCAAATCTTGAGCTAAGACCTGCCATCCTGAATGCGTCAAAAACTCGTCAAGTCCGTCATCCGTCCCCACGACGCCTTCGAAGGCGAGGACTATGGGAAAGCGTAGATCCGAGGGGCCGGCAGCCGTCGTGTCATAGAGGTCGAGCCACATGTCCATCAAGCCCGCCGCTTCGCTGCGCAGTCGCTCGTTATCATCTTCGTGTAGCCAGAGTGCGAGAGCACGGAGGCCGGAACAGACGAGGCCATCGCTGCGTACCTCTCCTCGTAGCGAATCCCACGTTAATGTAAGTCGCGCGCCGCGCGAGCTTACAGCTGTGCCGTCCCGTGCCGATGGATGTAAGCCGGCCGCTCCAGCCACGGACGCGTCCCACCGGTCACGCAAGTACTCTATAGTGAGCGACATAGTTTCCGCCATGTCCTTACGCAGCTTCAAGAGCTGATCCGGCGTTATGTTTATCACGTACTGGTCGCCGGCATTATCGAGCGAGCGCATTAGGTAGCCGATAAAGCTAGAGATGATATCAAATGCGGCGGCGAGTCTTGGTGATGTTTCAATGTAGACGTCGTCATTGAGTATTGAGAGCAAGGACGCAAATGACGAACGTAGGTCTATCAGGAGTAGGTTGATGAAGAAATATGCAAAGCACTTGGTCTCGGCCGGAAGTTTCGAATCCTCGCCAAACAATAGAGATGGAGATAATTCGGGCCAGGTTAGAAGCAAATTGGCGGCGAGTTTAGTGTATGATGTTCGAACGGCCATGGTTGGTTTGTTTAAGACCAGCTTCCGAAGTATGCTGACAAGCGGTGTTAACCACTGTGGCCGACGAGGCAATATCTACAGTGTATCTTCAGCTTAGCTCATTACAATATACCAGTGGAAGTCAGCGTACATGTTGGTCTAGTCTTGAAAGTAGATTTGAAATAAAATTTGATAGAGTGACAGCATCAGTTCCTTTAAATACATCAAGAAGTTGGGGCAGCACTTCTTCCATGCTCGCTCGCACAATCTCCAGCCCGCTCCCATCCGCTGTAGCTGTCACATTCACCCACGCGTACTGAAATATATCCAAAGCGCGCGGCTCTTCTTTCGCAACCACTATCAAGGGCACTTTGCTGTCAAGGCTTAAGAGCCTGCTAGACCCTTCGACATCACTGACGATGGTCAAAAGAATTTGTAAATTGAGCTTCGTGCTTTCTGGAGTACTGTGGGACTATTAGTTAACAGAGGTCATCATGCGCCACTGCTACATTTGCATCTACCTGCTGGCGAGCGCCCGGACTAATGCAGCTGTTCTTCCAGTCAACTTGTGACCGAGCTGTAATCTATCTGGTAGTAGAACAACGAAGATGTGTAAAACGGAAACCGCAAGATCGACCATACTTCTTGCCTCCTCTTGGCTGATCTTCTCCGTAACCTGGGCTCGAAGCAGGCGATCGAGGAATGAAGGTGGAACCATTTTCCAAAGGAGTTGGAGTTGAGCGCTGTCTTTAACCACTTCTTCCTTATCTAAAATCGTCTTCAGAAGCGCTAGACCGACAAATCTCGAGGTATCGTCTTTTGATTTGAGGAAGAAACTCATTTTTTTGATAACATCAATAACATGAGAGCTAGCCGTCAACCCATGGTCGGGAGTGGACTGTTGAGGTTCAGAGTTTCTCATGGCCGAATTGAATGAGTCCGTGGTCTACACAAATTGCTCGTAGATACTAGTCCATCATTATCGTTTTGTCGACCTTTAGGTCGTCACAGAATTAGCCGACGTTTATCCGAGGAAACGGGCGCTTTGAACAACAATCCATCTGGTCGGTGCTAGATCAGCAACAAAATGCGACATCTGGTTTCGGAGACTTGAGTAAAGTCGGCTCACCCGCGCTAATTCCAATGCCTACTGGCCAGCCTAAGTCGCCTTCAATCCGGACACCTGCCAGAGAAGATGTGCCCGATCATGACGATATTGCTGCCAGCGATGCTGCGGCAAGCGGCTCCAAAGATCAGCAAACTCCCTCGGGGGCTTTCAAACGCAACAAAAAAAATCCCTATGGCGGACCTCGTTTTCTGCTAGTTCCAGGTTACGAAGCCGGGACTGACTATGTAATGCCCTCGCCACGCAGCCAGGCATTCGGCCCGGGAGACGACAATTTTCTCGCATCGGGAACGAGGGATGAATCTAACGATGAGCACTTGAAGGACGGCGAATCACTAGAATGGCAGGCCGAGACACCCAGCCGAAGAGTCGGTTATGAAGATATGACAGCCATAGATTGGATTTTCGAGTATTCAAAAGAGAGACAGCGACTGCAGGTTTTACGACACAACGCGAGGGGTATCTTCGGTTACATCAGGGAAGTTTTGGATTCAAGTCAAGTGTGGGTCGTACTGTTATTGACGGGTGTGGCAGCAGGCTGCCTCGCCGCCGTCATAGATGTTGCCAGTGACTGGCTAGGAGATATTAAGCTTGGCTACTGTGCCTCGGGCGAAGATGGAGGTCACTTTTACCTCAACAAGTACTTTTGCTGCTTGGGCTTTGACGGGCTCAGCCAGTGTCGAGATTGGATCTCTTGGAAAACAACCTTGGGCGTTACTACGGGAAATGCTTCGTGGTTAACGGCCTATTTTATCTTTACCATCTCCTCGGTACGCTAGTAGCATTTACGCCTGTGACTCTGGACTAATGCGCCTTGATAGATTTTATGCGCCGTTACGGCGAGCTTTCTAGTTCAAGAGTACGCACTCTACGCTAAACACAGTGGCATCCCCGAAATCAAGACAGTTCTCGGTGGATTCGTCATTCGAAGATTCATGGGTCTCTGGACACTTGTGGTCAAATCATTAGGATTAGTAAGTGAAGAAACCTCCTATGAATACGTGAGCACAGCTAATTAGTCTAGTGCTTCGCAGTTGCCTCGGGAATGTGGCTGGGTAAAGAGGGTCCTCTAGTACACGTGGCTTGTTGTTGTGCTAATACGTTTATGAAATTGTATGGAAATATCAATGACAATGAAGGTAATTAAATTGCGTAATCTTCCACAAGGCTCTGACAATTTTTAGCGAGAAAACGAGAAATACTTTCGGCCGCAGCTGCCGCTGGCATATCGGCGGCATTTGGCTCGCCAATAGGTGGTGTTTTATTCAGTCTCGAAGTAGGCTCCTAATCTAGCGATGATGGCTCGTTTCGACTTACAATGTGTAGCAACTTTCTTACTACTTTCCCGACAAGACAATGTGGCAAAGCTTTGTATGCGCAATGGCTGCAGCTGTCGCACTGCAAGCTTTTGATCCGCTTCGAAGCGGTAAAATTGTGCTATACCAAGTTACATACAGTAGCGGGTGGCACGGCTTCGAACTTATTCCCTTTGCTCTCCTTGGTATTTTTGGCGTAAGTATCTTTCATCCCCCAGCATTATAATCGTAGACAAGCACTTATACCGTTCTAGGGCATCTACGGGGGACTTTTTATCAGACTAAACATGAAGATTGCGGAGATAAAGAAAGTAGCTACTTGGTTACCCAGCCCTATTGCTCAAGTATCAATTGTGGCTCTTCTCACCGCTCTAGTTAACTTTCCTAATGCCTACATGCGCCTTCAGTCATCGGAGCTCCTTTATTACCTCTTTGCCGAATGTTCAAAGGTAGCTCACGACCCATTTGATCTCTGCAAGATAGGCTCAGCAACTGGTGGAACCGTGTTCCTCTTGATCATCGCAGCTTTGCTTGGATTCTTGCTCGCGTCCATTACCTTTGGCCTTCAGATTCCGGCCGGAATCATACTGCCATCCATGGCTATTGGGGCGCTCTTTGGCCGGGCTGTCGGTATTCTGATGGGAATTTGGGTAAACACTCATCCTGGCTACATTCTATTCTCTACTTGTGAACCTGATATTGCCTGTGTGACTCCTGGTACTTACGCCGTCATTGGAGCGGCCGCAGCATTGGGAGGTGTTACCCGGATGACGGTATCCATTGTTGTTATCATGTTTGAACTCACCGGCGCCCTCAGCTACGTTCTCCCAATTATGATCGCCGTCATGCTTAGCAAATGGGTCGGTGATGCTTTTGGAAAGCGTGGTATTTACGAGAGCTGGATACACTTCAACGATTACCCCCTCCTGGATAACAGCGAAGAGACATATGTTCCAGATATCCCTGTCCGGGAAATCATGACTCGCATCGAATATCTTGTAGTCTTGACGGCTACGGGTCATACCATCGACTCACTGAGCAATATTCTGGCTACATATCCGTATCGCGGGTTTCCTGTAATTTCTAACGCCAAGAACGCTATTCTTTTGGGCTACGTCTCTCGCACTGAGCTCGCATTCAATTTACAAACATCGAGACAAAAACCTCGATTCCTTCCCCCCGATACTGAAGTCTTTTTCTCACATCAGCCACAAGCCGATCCGCAGACGACCCTGGACCTTCGACCATGGATGGATCAAACTCCTTTGACCATATCTTCGCAATCCAGCCTGCAACTCACCGTTACCTATTTTCAGAAGCTCGGTCTACGCTACGTTCTATTCTGTGATAAGGGACAATTACAAGGCTTGCTGACAAAGAAAGATGCATGGTTAGTACTAAATGGGGCAGAAGAATGTCTAAATACGGTGCAAGATCATCGACTCAAGGCCACAGCCCGTTCCCCTAGAGATGGCCAGGCAATTGAGGAGAGAAGTCTATTGAGCTATGATACACACAGTCCTTTAATACCATTGAGTCCTGAGAGTTCAGCTTTTTAAATGGCATCTGGCTCCTCCCAACTAATCAACTATATCTCAATTGTCAAAATATTATTGATTTTGCTTGTAGCCTTTTAACAATTACCAGGTTGGCGTTGGCTTGATTCTCGGAGGGAAGTTTTAACGAGAGATCGACTAGATGACAGCTGGTTGGTACAAGGCTGATCTATAATGCGGGCATGGATCTCCTCTTGACCAGGTCTTTACTGTCATTTCAACTTTACAGATACGCCGGAGGTGGAGGGCTAATGACGGTAATATGAGCACACTATTTGGATCTATGTCACTGATTAATATTATGTAGCTTCTACCTTGTTTGAGGTATAACAAGAGCAGTATCACCGTCAGCTAAAGGAGCACAACTTTCCAAGAGCCATTGATTTTTTGCTGATGATCTACCTCACAAGTAGGGCACCGTCATCTGCAACTACCACCGCGAGATCCTTGCCTATTTCTATGATCTTAAGATCTTATCAGCTATATCTCTAACGCTTTCTCCTAATATTTGTGCTCCTCTTGAATACCTTCATTAGGTCGCATCTGTTCTACCTAGACTAGAAAGATATTAACGCTAGAATGGTTTTGTAGGTATGTGACTTTGGTTTGACTTTAAAAGTGTCTCGCTGTAGGATTGATCAGGCGCAATACAAAAGATCTCATGAGTTTAGATTTAGTGGAGTTCGGAGCCAAATTATAGGTTGAACGGCAAATGTAAGTGGTAATTTCGGAGTCGGAGAGCAACGTTTCAAACGACAATAACGAGTGTAGGTTAGACAATCATGCGTGATAAGTAGTAGTACCAATGTATGTAGTATCTGTGCAAACAAGAAAGATCGATGACAGATTAAGGCTCTTCCAGATTCCGATTCCCTGTCAACTTCCAAAGAATGATAACCACGAATAGCACAGGCGATTGAATGTGAAATATACTTCGGCTTTGATGTATGACATCAAGTGCCACAACCAGGAGGCTAAGAGATACTTGACCTTGCTTGGAGCCTCTGACACCTTGAGCGTTAGTTCAATATTTTGCATGAGGTGTACTGGGAGCTTGAGAAAAATGTGCAGACAGTTTCGCAACATGAGCTCGAACTTTAAAGAACTTTGATAAGAGATTGAATCCAGAGGCCGGCCGTCTCGCGATATCTGAGCTTCGACCTAAACCTGGTCTACTAGAGCCAGTTCCCGATTCTTATGTTCCTCGCTTATGTTTTAATTGTAGCTTTCCTAGGATCAGGCAGGAATCTCCTGTAAGAGATTGCGTGGCGGTTGATTGATAATTCCGACAATCTTATCTTTGTATGTGTAAAGCCGAGAGGTAAAGTCATAACAATCTGAGATAAGGGTTTGAGAGGCATACAGGACTAGTTTTCTCTCCCCTCAAGGTGCGAAGAGCTTTCAGAAGGAAGTGTAATGGGATTGTATGGGGTTTGGATAAGCTTAATCATTGTAATTAGTAGATTTATTGGCGATCGAGAGGTTGTTGGAAAGAATTCCAGACCAAGTACTGTAGAGGTCGAAGTTTAGAGGAGAGAGCATGATGCTCTCGAGCCAACTACCATCAATCCTTCTTCAATCTCATGGTGTTCATTAACATTATCTGCACCTTTAGCTTGCTGTCGCCTTACCATTTATGATTTACGCATCCATGGATAGCGTACCTTTTCTTGTCTTTCCTCGTCACTTTGCAGATCAATTTCAAATTCGTCAACATCAAGGGTGTAGTGATATGCATTACAATTAAACTCATCATCAGATGCGACTTCCTCATCAGGATAGTCGGCTGTGTAGTGGTCTTCCGCTAAAGTAATGATTCAGTATTGTGCTGCGGGCGGAAAGAGTTTTGGGAGAAATTACCATTTTCATCATCGTCGTCCTCTTCGTCCTCCTCGTCAGAATCCGTGTCGTCATGGTAGAACTCCTCGATTTCGGCCTGGGAATCTAACACCAAGAAACCATAGTTGGCAGCATTTTCCATATCAGTTGGTTCAATGGCTTCAATGGGTACGCGGAGGTATGTCTCTACAACCCAGTCACCATCTTTATCGATATTTGGCTCGATATATTGAATAACCCTGTCGGTTTCTAAAGTTTTTTCTATCTCAGCGCTCTTCTGTTTCCTTTCTCTATATCGCAGAGCCGGCGCTTTTGGTTTAAATCGCGAAGGTTGTTTCTCTTTCTGAGGCGTCGCAAGCACTGAATGAGAGTGAGCCTTGTCCCAACGATGATCAATTTCTGAAAAGCTGATGTTTTTCCCGATCTCATCGAGAGTGTAGGCTTGCATCTCAGCGGCAAGCTCACTCGATGTCACATCCCACGGCATGGTATTGCCGGACGGAAGACGCACATTTCGGAGTGGGGCCGGAGAAGAGGCATTTGTGGATAACCTAGAGCTTCGGGTGGCAAGACCAGGTCTTTTTTGAGGATCGGAGAGATTTGATGAAAAAGACGGTGCAGTTGTAGCTTGAGATATGTCGGATGTAGGAACAGAGCCGATGTTTTGAACGGTAGGCTTGCGCTCTACAAAAATAGTTTCAGCCTTGCGCTTTCGGTTGGTTCCTAGGAAGGTGCCAACTGGCTGTGACGAAGGTTCAGGGTGATAAATATGAAAGCGCCGAGGTAAGTTGAGAAGAGTAGTCTTGACGTCGGATGATCCAGATCCATTACTTGTTTGTTTCTCAACTAACTCATGTGTTGATTTTGACCTTAAGCCTGTCTCAAAGTGGCCGTGGTCAAACTGTGTTGTCCGAGGGCTGGGCGACACAATCGCATTAGACTGACGGAAGAAGACAAAATCTGATGTTCGTTTCTGCTTTTTGCCAATATGTTCCTGAATATCTACTGAAGTCAGGCAAAATTTCGATATTGGGAAAGCTTTAGTCCTTACGAAGTAGCTCAACAGGTTCATCTGTGCGTTTCCTCTTGATCTTAATTTCACCTGGGGGCAATGACATGTCTAAAAAGAATTTATATAGCGAGTTAATGTTATCTCTCCTGCTACGAGGGCATATACAAATAATTTCAGATAGCGTGGCTGGTATGGTAACGGGGGTGGGGGTGTCGGAACTCGGGCTGAAATTCCGAACCTATCATTCTGCTTGGTAAATACAATCTCGAACGCGACCTGCACAACTTCTATCCTTTTTTTTTGCATCAGATTTTAATTGCGTATGCAGCTATCTAGCTATGACACAATATCAAAGAAAAGTACAGAATAGATGATTCAACGCAAAGGAAGAGCACTCATGCCTCGGATTTTATTTGCAAGTACCACTGCAAAGTTATGGCGGCTTTTTGTTCGCCCCAAGTCAACCCTCATCCGTGAATACACACTCAGGGGAACGTCTCAAATACCCTGAGTTATCCAGACATGCCTCCATCATCTTTCAACCTTTCTCCGCGCGAAATATGCTCTGAGGCGTCTCTTTCCCAAGTGGAGTAGGTGCCCAGGCTATTCAGACTATACCGAAGAACACCACCAGGAGGCGGACCGCAACACCTTCCATCGCTTGCTTGTTTTTATAGTGTCAGCTGCACTCTCACAAGCGAAGTCTTGGCGCTCACAAAGCCCAATTCGTAAAACTGCTTACCAAAATTCGGGTTTTCACTCCATTCAAGGTTATGTCCTTCCTTTGCATCATCTTGTAAACTTATCCTGATTCCTCTCACGTCCATCCCAAATAACTGTCTCCCAGATTTGTGCGCCACGCTTTGCTTCCTCCGTCGGGTATAAATATCTGCGTGGGCGTGTATTTGGTGGTCAACTGAGGTCAGAGAAGGTCAAAGAGAGGTGTGGTCATTGGGATGAGGATGTACTTGGTCGTACTTGTAGACTTGATGAGACTTAGGTAGGCGTCAAACTCGTTAGGAGCGGAAAAACGACGTGGTGGAGTAATTTTAAATTTTGCCTCGGGCCAACTTTGATATTGCGAAATTTGACTGAACTTGGCTCTGGGAGAATATTTCACTCCCAGGTTCGTAGAGGACACCGCGTACAGGTGTTCAGTCTTGCCCTCCGCAGCTTCAATCTAATCAGGCTACAGCTTCCTATCATGACTAACCTTGCGAAATTCCCTCCGTATTTTATCGTCTTCTGATGTCAGAGGTGGCATCCCATGCCAGCTGGCCTCCGTCCTTCGATTTGAAGAGCTACCTCGATGAATAGACAATGATCTTTAAAATTTGATCTGCTGCCATGATCACGCTTATACCACAAGTAACAACTGCCCGCCGGCCCTAAAACTTGGGCTGCAGCAAAGTTCTACCAATACCGCCATTCTGGACGTACAAAAATAAGCTTTCGGGAGTCACCATTTTCTCTCCACAAAAACCTGACGAGGGCCCAAAGTAGCTTAGCAATCCAAATTCGAAGCGAGCATATCGGGCTCAATTCTTACTTACACAGAAGAAAATTAAAAGGATTTTATTACCCAGGTTGTCCATGTGGCTACCAATCACAAAATCCTAAGCACATGGTCATGTCCTACCCTAAGTGGTCAATTGGTAAAGGAGAAATCTTGAGACAAGCCCGAAATCGATCCTTTGAAGCAATGACCGACAATCCCAGCGATAAGAAAAGAATCACACGATAGATTCTTATTCATGGTTGGATAGAACAATTCCGCATGACAAATGCAGCCGAAATGCTGCTCGGGGAACGAGACGGAACATGCAAAAGGTTGGGGTCGATAGAAGGGACGTGATTGGTACACATCGACGGTGTTGCAGTTTAACTGTACTTCCTGAAGGATAAACTGCAAACTATAAGAATTAAATCAGAAAGCTTGGGAGGTTTTCACCGAGAGGTTTCCTCCTATGTAAATATATAGATAGGTTTATAGCCACCTGCATGGGCCGACAGGTCGCCAAATCAGGATAATGAACACAAATCAAATCAAAACTGCTCGCCAAAACAAACGCGTAGGCTCAGAAAGTCAGTGTCCCACGTTGACTTTATCAAAAAGCTCCTCGAGCCCAAGTGCCACAATAGCTTCAAAAAATTTGCGGAAACCGGCTGTTTCAATAGACGACCTGGCCACTCACGCACTGCTCTCAGCGGGGATCAGATAAACTAGCCATTACCACAACGCATGACACGAAAGGAAACGAGGCGAATAGTGTCGATTCTCTGAGGAAAGATTGCAGTAATTTAGAGTTATGGGGAAAAGTAGTGATTTTTGATCTACGAGTTGGAGTAGGGATTGTCTGCATTGTAATTTACTTCCTACTATTTCTGTAGCGAGTCTGGCGGTTGGAATGAGTTGGGCCTGTAAGCAGTGATCCCCGCCGGCTCCACCAGTCTTGTACCGATAGTGGACCTAAAGTTTTAGCTTAGGACTTTAATATAAAAAAAATAAAAACACCGCTCACCGGCAGTTACGGCCGTTGGCCTCACCGCCGGTCTCACATGCCACGTGCCACCTGGCACGTGCATATCTGCCTACTGTATATACCTCGTTCCGTCTCGTAGTCTTAGATTCCCAGCGTCAACTTACACCACCAACGCGATAGTTGCCTACGAGAGTTGCCTTCCTTCTCAGGTCATGACTCCAGCAAAAATTCTCAAGCTATGCAACCACCCCCCACGACAACCGCACGACAGACAGACAGAACTCTACTAAATTACCTTTTGACCTTGATTACTTTCGAATAATAGGACACATGTTTTATTAGGATGTGCATGAAGCAAGGATGCTGGAGTTTGGGCGGTAATAATGATTATGAAGGTGTGACAAGGAGGGCAAGACTGAACACCTGTACGCGGTGTCCTCTACGAACCTGGGAGTGAAATATTCTCCCAGAGCCGAGTTCAGTCAAACTTCGCAATACAGAACAAGTTGGCCCACGAGGCAATGATTCAAAATACTCCACTATATCAATCTTTCACTCCCAACGAAATCGATTCCTACCTAAGCCTCATCAAGTTTACAAGCACGACCTAGTACACCTTCATCCCAATGACCACACCTCTCTTTGACCTTCCCTGGCCTCAGTTGACCACCAAATACACGCCCACGCAGATATTTATACCCGACGGAGGAAGCAAAGCGTGGCGCACAAATCTGGAAGACAATTCCTTGGGATGGATGTAAGAGGGATCAGAAAAAGTTGATAAGATGATGCAGAGGATTGGATACAGGCTCGACAGGCGTGGAATTTTGAGTTTTGGAAAGGAGTTTTTACAAATTGAGCTTTGTGCGTGCCAAGTCTTCGGTTGCGAGAGTGCGGGCGACACTATAAAAACTGCCATGGTTGGATGGTGCGGTGGTACATCGTCTTGGCCGGTCTGCCAAGTAGAGTCTGGATAGCTTGGACACATATCCTACTTGAGATAGTAGATCGCTGGTTCATATCCAGCAAAACACAACCATATTTCTCGCGGTGCTGGTATGCATGGATGGCGAAGGCATGCTTGGATAACCAAAGGTTTCGATATTCCCTTCGGTGGGTACTTACAGAGGAGGGTCGACTGTTCGTGTAAGCGAGCATACCTAATAGTAGTATTTGCGAATGAAATCCAGAATATGAGTGTCTCTAACGTCAAAAGAGTCATCACATATGTAAACATAGCACTGGTCATGTGTCATAGCTTTATAGCTGAATACACATTAAATGATTTAAAAAAACACTATAGTGGCTCCCATGTAAACCAATTAGACAATCTCTATAGATCACAAGAATTGCTCGTCCCGTTCCTTTCCCTCTGCAACATTTAGACCACTTTGTCATCTGGAATTATTTTATCCAACCATCGAGGGCAAGATATTATCATATATTTGGAGTTTTACTACTAGTAGCTACATGTGAACTTGGACTGTAGATTCCAGGTATTTTTCTTCAAGATAAATGTGAGTTGAGCCAAAATTTGGAAATGTCGCGCAATGAAACAGGCGCAGTTTTGTTTTGTTTATTTTGTCCTAAGCTAAAGCTATTTTTTCCACATTGGGTCAAGGACAGGTGGAGCCGGTAAGGATCACTGTATACAGGCCCAACTCATTCCAACCGCGTGAACTTCCACATAAATGGTGGTGTTAACAGCAAATCAAAAATCAAAAACTAAAATCAAAAACAAAAATCAAATTTAGAAGAAATCCCTGTAGGTCCGGATCCCGCGCTTCTCGCCCGTTCCCTTTCCTGTCACATCTTCCAAGTGACACTTTCTGACCTTCGCTGAGAGCAGAAGATGAGCTCGCAGGCACCCTTTTCCCATCTGGTGTCCTACTGTTAGTATGTTGAAGCCTCGACGACTTCACTGAGGCTGGCCGCAACCTTAAACCTCCTCTTCGGATGCCAGAATCCCAAAACCCGATCCGTCTGACATATAGACGTCATTCTTCGCGCCGTGAATCGCCTGAATGGCTATCTCGGCTGCAGCTCTGATGCGAGTAAAATCTGCGTGATTTTTCTGCTCGATCTTGCGAATCATCGCAAGCTGCTCTTTTTTCACCAGGCCGAACTTGCTGGGCCTGGCTTTGCAGTACCCCGAGTCCGATCGATAAGGTCCCCCACAGTTTCGATACCGTGTGGGGGCTTTGCACTCCGTTTCAGAATGCATTTTTGATCCGCAGTTCCAGCAAGCCGGAGCGCGGGAGCAATCGTGTGAGGCATGGAAGCCAAAACATCGATTACACCGAACTATTTTTCGACGAGGTTGGAAGAGCTTTGCAGCTCCGGAGTCATCGAAGAGGCGAAATCCAGGTCGGGGCGTGGATTCGCGAGGGAAGAGCGCTTGCCAGTTCTGGTATGGCGCTCCAGGTTCGCAGGTGCCAAGAGGACGAACAAGAAAAGGAACTCATTTGGTCACTCGCGTGACTTCGTCGGCGACCATCTTTTCCGTGATGAAAACGGAACCTGTGAGTATATTAATTCTCAGCGGGACGGTGGCAATTAGTAGGGCAACCAGATTTGACGCTGGTTCCAGTTTAATTCCCGATTCTCTCCGTTCTACGGAGGA